AGTAACAAACCACCAACATGATATTAAAAAAAATAATTTTTATAATTACCAACCTTTAATGTAATTGGTTGATCATATAGGGGTCATGAGGATCAGCATTTATAATTTTCTAAAAAAACTTATTTTTTTTATTTTGGAATTTTGAAATATAGTGTATATATACTGCAGTGCACCAGTTTATTTTTTTATTTTTTATTTTTTTAAATTCAGCAGTCATGCCATAACTTTTATTAGATTTACTGCAATTGGCTTTACCGCATGCAGACTTTTTGCCAAAACACTGGCTTTGACTAATCTAGTTATCTACTAGACACCTATGTTCGACCTGCTATAGCCGATTTTGTCTACGCATCTATCTCTCCTGCAACAGAAATAAATAGGTATATTATCAACTAAAATCGGCTGCCCATTATGACTGCTAAATTCTTTAAGACCTTCTCCTTATTAATACCCAAGCAAGAGGATTCTATGATCCTTGTCTCAAGAACAACAAGTATACTAAAAAAAAAAACTAAAACTAAAAAAGGAATAAAACAAAAAATGGAAAATCTACAAAATCTAAACGAAAACCAAATAAAACAAAAGAAAGATAAAAAAGATAAAAAAAAGAGAAAGACAAAAAGAAAAAAGCAAAAACCATGAAAGCAACGGATACACCAATGCTTGAAAAAACAAATGTTTTAGTTAAAAATTATTTAATACTCCACAAAACAATCACACCTTCGCTTTACTTTGATATTAAAATAGTTCTTGTTATGTGGAAAATATGAAATTTTTCTTGTTTACCCATATCAATACAAAACCAAATGGTTGATCTTTGTTTACTACTACTGTATGTGTCCTTCTACAGTTGTAAGATGTAGAGCATCTGTCTTTCTTGTGACTACCTCCTGATTAAGTAATGTAAACAATATCAATCTTTTACTGGGGGTATGCTAAAATTTCTACTTTTTGGAAAAAATTTTGAGATAAATACCAAAAAACCTAGCAGGAATATGTAAGGTAGTTTTTGAAATCAGGTACTTCAAATCTTCAAATAGTGGTTTAAAAAAACTCATTTGTTGTTTCCTTTTCTTTATTGCCTCTCAGTTGCTTCGTCGGTGAGAACTACTTATTACTTCAAACCTGTCAATACCAAAATTTTGTATATGAGGGCATCACCTCTTGTCTGTTATATTGTATTCTAATACTTTTGGCTTGTGTGTTGAATATGCCAAAGAAGTCCCCAGGAAGAATAATATAACCTAGTTGAACCTTTGCAAGAACTACCTAATAGTCGTGTCAGCTACTCCAACAAATTTTTGTTTTTTAGTTAATATGAAAATTTGGTACAAGTGATCATCAGAGAGAGTTGTGTGATTTATTGAGTGCACTGGTTTATTGTATGACCAAAATTAATAAAAAATATATATTACAAATAACAAGTTTGATTGATATCTCTACTTATTACCAGTTACTGTTATCAATATACACTAATATGCAAATATTATTATACTAAATATTATTTAACTTTACATTTATATGCAGCTTTATTTAAAACAAATCATAGCCCTAAATTAAACTGCAAAAAAACAAGAGAGCAAATATGAATCCTCCTACTTATAATATGCTAATCTCTGTCACTAACTAAAAAAAGTAATGGGCTCTGTAAAATACCTCTGCATCAGCAGAAGTATTTCATGAGGCCTGTTACTTTTTTTAATTAGTGACAGAGATTAGTGCATCATAATTAACTCCATTAATAGAAAATTTTTAAAGTCTGCCGAAGTGTCATGGTCTCATGACTTTTGTCTTTCGTGTTTCCACAAAATTAGATAAAATTCAAACTTCACCGAATCAGAGTTTGAATTTTGTTAAGTTGCAATTATAATTTAATATAATGGTTTATTAAAAAAAATACAATTAATTGAAAAAAAAAATAACAAAAAAATAGCATATTAGAAAAAAAAAAATAAATTAGAAAAAATAAAATACAATTAATTAAAAAAACAATTAATAAAAAAAAACAACAAAGAAAAAAAAGCAAAAACATTAAATTTTAAAAAAAATCATTAAATTAAAGAAAAAACATATTAAGATAAAAAACTGGTAAATTAAAATAGTTAAAAAAATATTATAGCTATTTTCATTATTCCTGGGACACCTATAAAAAAACTTGCCAAAAAATTTTTTGGCCAGTACATAAATTAATAGGCGATTCTCCAGTCATCTGGACAAAAATTTTTTTTTATATAAATTTCATTATAAGTACGCTGGTATCTAAAACTTTTTTTATACTAAATACACTCTTTGGCTTCTAACAAAAGTTATAGAGCTTATCAAAATGTATATAATACTGTAAAAATATTAAAATTGGCCTGGTAGTTCTTGAGAAATCTTTAAAAAACTTCTTTTTTATATATAAAATTTCTTTAAAAAAAATCAATTTTTTTTAAAAAAATTTTATATATAAAAAAGAAGTTTTTTAAAGATTTCTCAAGAACTACCAAGCCAATTTTAATATCCTTTCAGTATTAAATATATTTTAATAAGCTTTACAACTTTTGTTAGAAACCAAATGATTTACTTAATATAAAAAAAAGTTTTAAATAAAAATGCTATGCATTTGCACTTATAGTAAAATTTTATATATAAAAAAAATTTTTTTATCCAGGTGATTGGTGGATTGCCTATTAAATATAACAAGTATTTTAGAAAAAGTAAAACAAAGTATCTATAATATATTAATTTACTATTAGAACAATTATAATAATCTTGGTTTGATGATAGCCCTATTATATACCCTATTACAAAAATTTAGATTTTTTAAATAATAACTGAAAAAAAACCAAGTTATTTAAAAACTTTATGATGAATATAACAAAATAAACAAACTAGTATTCAGATTACAAACCAATCCAATCTTACCTACTACAGGATTTTTAGCATGTTTATATATAAAGAATATCACCAACAATATTAGATAAAAAAAAAAGAAAGATAGATTGGTGTCCGATCAACAAGCTTCTGATAAAATTCCAAATTATTTATTATTAGCCAGCACTAAATACTGAGAACCCTTGTTTTAATAGAAAATACATTTACAAAAATTTCCCAAACTTGCCAAAATTGCTAGAAAGTATCTTTCAATACCAGCTACATTCATATTGAGTAAAAGGTTATTTTCAGATACCAGTAATCTTATTAGCTCTAAAAAAAAAATAAACCTGAACACAAGTTTAGTTGGGCAAATATTATTTTTGAAAAGAAATATAAATAAAATATCAGTCTTTGCACCAGAATAGAGTAAAGAATAATATTAAATAAATCATAGTAAAATACTGAAAATTTTTAAATTTTAAATTTTTTTTTATTATTCTTTTTTGATCTTAATATATAATATATTATTGTGATAATTCCAAATACAAAAAAAAATGAAGTTTGATTTGAATAGTGTTAACGATCATTATTTATAAAAAATTGTCCCAACATCTAGTGCTAACAATAGTCTCATTTTTATTTAACACTAGTCTTATATTATGTTTTGTGTTACATACCTATTGCATAATTGGTAACATATAGATGGTTGTATGTATTACAAAATTTATTATTTGAATTCTGAATTACTAATCCAAATTAAAATCTGAATTATAGCCAAATACATTGAAGAAATTCGAATTTAATTCCAAATAGCCTTTTAAAATAGGATCGAAACACTACCTGAAATTTTGTCAACCTCCCCCCACTCATCTTCCCCAGTATCGCCATCAAAAAGTGAAATTCAAAAAATTCTTTAAAGTTCGTTTAGATTAGGGTTAGGGTTTATGCTAAGGTTAGGGTTAGAGGAGTTTTAATAGTAAAATCGCTCAAGGAAAACTTTTTGTTAGTACTTGAAAGGTGGTTTCTTATGTAAACTTTTGAGAAACAATCGATTTTTTTAAAAAAAGATGTTTGTTTTGAATTTTCCTAATTACACCAAATTATTATCTTTTATTGGTCAAAAATCACGTGAAGGTGAATTTTTGATGGCGATACTGGGGTAGTTCCCCCACCCTACGATATCAGCTGATATCTGACACTTCCCTAACTGAAATAAAGAGATTTCATAATTACATTGTGTTTATTATTAAAACTATACTTGTTAGTTCATTGTTAATAAAATTACTCTATATGACTATCTGTATCTTTATATACATTTAGGTGTTTGCCTCTCATAAACCAAATCACATAAAACCTTTTTAGATTTACAGCTTGAAGGTTAAGCACATGGGGCATTTATAAGTTATCAAACCCCAGTTGCATCGAACCGGTTAGAGGTGGTTTGAGTGTAACACTACCCGAACCCGAACATGTTCATGAACTTCGATCAGACTGAACAAATATTTCAAGTTCGGTTCGGGTTCATAAATTTTAAGTTCGGTTTCGAAGATCTACAAAATTTAAAGTTCGGGTTCGGGTTGAACTTCGGAACACTACACAAATTGTTTGAAACTTTTCTATCAATATATAAGGAGTATTTTAAATTTTATTTAAGATAGTTCTAATGAATACTCTTCATTCAAAAGAAACTCGGTAAATAAGGAGTATTTTAAATTTTATTAATTTAGAGCAAAAAAAGTCATCTCGAAGCCATAAATTAAAACTTAGAGCTTTCGCAAAAAATCAAACATAGAAGCTTTAAGATAGTTCTAATGAATACTCTTCATTCAAAAGAAACTCGGTAAATAAGTACAATTTTTATCTGAATATTTTAGAATTCGCACTTACATTTATGATTTCGCTAATAAAAATTTGATCATACGTAGTAAATCCCCCTGTGCAAAGTACCCCTATTAAAGAATTTCATGTAAAATCAAATTTTGAGATTGTATTATACCCGGGGTACCGCGCATGTAGGGATGTTCTCTCTAGAGCCAATCAAAATTCACCGATTAGTCAACCAATTATTACGCCAAGTTTTACTAAATATAATTTTTGATCAGTTAATTTTTTAAACCGTTTTTCACTCTCGGTGGTATATAATGGAATTGAAAAAATCGGTTCTCATTGGCATAGGTGTTCTCGGTGCGATCGGTATTGGCTATGTCGTATACTGGGATTATATGAGACACAACAACAAAGAATTCCGAAATAAATGGAGTAAATAACTTTTCATATTGATATTACACTGTAGTTTCAATGGAGTCCTGTGTTTTTTTTTTCTCACAGGTTAATATCACAAATAAGCTTTAATTTTCAAAACCTTTATACTTAGAACGTGGAAGAAAGAAATCAGCCAAACGTAGGAAAGCTGCAGTCGAGGTCGCCAAAGATCGAATAACTAATTTCGTTAAGAAGGCCGTTGATGAAGTCTCTAAAGAAAGTTTCCCTACCGATGTCACTGCTAAAGAAAAATACTTCATGGATCAAGTGTCCAATGGTGAAACTTTACTTGCTGAAGGTAAATAAGAATTAATATATTCTACATAGTTTTATGAACTCAAGATGAATATTTATTTTTGTATTATTAGGTAAAGAGCGTCATTTGGACGCTGCTCTCTGCTTCTATAAAGCTTTAAAGGTGTATCCTAATCCTGTTGAATTGATAATGATATACCAAAAAACCATTCCTGAAGCAGTTGTTAATGTGATTTACGAAATGATGAGTTTTGAGGTACAAAACCCTAATCCCGATTAATAGAAATATAGTAACACTAATATACATAGGTATAGTGTATAAAAAATAATTAGATAAATAAATGTGATCAACTTTATTTAGGTAAAGAAAAAAAAGGCAGAGTATTTTGAAAATTTTCCACCGAGAGATATGAATGTTAGAGTAGAAAAGATCAGCGAAAGTTCGTCTTCGGACGATCATATTCGTCGCGGTCTTTTTGCTACAAAGGACTTTTGGCCCGGTGACGTTATCTTTGATGAGCAACCTATTGCCTCAGCGCTTGATCCTGATCTTGAGGTATAGAAACGAAATTATCCCATGTTTTCACTATCCAAACATATGCCCCAATTAATTTATATATCGCTCGTTCCACGTGGTGTTGTCCTCCAAAAAAAAAAAAAAAAAAAAAACCAACAAACAAAAAAAATTGTTATATTACAGACTGGTGATTATTGTAGTTATTGTCTCAAAGAACTTTCCGGTGACCCAATCAACGATGATACTGATCTATTTGAAGCAGTCTATTGCTCAAAAACATGTCATGAAAAAGCTATGAGTGAATATGCTACACTTCTTTTCACTAATCGTGATAAAACCGGCAAAGAAAGTAAGGAATCTCAACTTGTACATTTGGTAAAATCTGGAAATGTCAAATATCCATTGATGATCGCTCGATTTTTGGCTAAAATGGTTCATGAGGAAACACAAAAAGTAATCACAGGTGAAGAAGAAGAATATAGTACTTGGGATCATATTGAACGATTACCATTGTTAAATGTACCTCCTAATGACAAAGAGACTAATGAGATTAAGCTGTTAAGAGAATTGTTTGCTGCAAAAGTTCCTGGGATGGAAGAGTTCATATCTGAAGAAAGGTACTTAATGCTTAAAGGCAAGCTTATGTATAATTCTTTTGGTATAAGTACCACGCGTGAAATAAGAGAGGTAAGAGAAGGATGCGTTGATAATACTAGATTTCAATCTATAATTATGCTTTTCGTTCAAATTAAATCTTTTATTAAAAATTTATAGAATACTCAGGAGATGGTTCGCACAAGTGAATCATCAGTGATCGGCGCCGGTTTTTATCGTGTTGCCTCCTATATGGTTCACTCATGTGACCCAAATATTATGATCAATTTTCCGAATCGAAATAATGTTATATCAGTTGTTGCCACTAAGCAAATTAAGGCTGGAGAAGAATTAAAAACTAGTTACATTAGAGTGGGTAATAGAACTTTAGAAAGTCGACGTAATGAATTGGAATCAAAATGGAAGTTCCGATGTACTTGCGCAAAATGTTTATCAGAATCAACTAGTGATTGAGGAGTGATTTAGATATTTCTACTTTTATAATTATTTTTCGGACTGGAAAAAATCCCCACTCTTTTATGGCTATGGGTGTTTATGCACTTATATAACTCAAATTGAATATAGAAAAAGTTAGTTTATGAAATACTAGAAAAATATATTTATAGTAAGGCAAATATTTAGATTCGCAAGCATCATCTTTGGTTAAATAAACGCAGAGTTCATTATAATTCATCGGCTAGAAATTACTGGCTAGCAATCAAAGGGGTAAAGGATTGTGATGGGCGCTGTCAATAGAAATCAGACAGATTTATTGGAGGAATCTGCTCGATCTCTATTGACGGCTGTATATGTCTTTTTTTTATTGTTTTATTATCAACTATTCTTATAATAATCATCGTACGGTATTTATATCTCCGAACATAAAATGGAATAATGAACAATGTTGAAAAGAAAAGTTGAGATCTGTATAAGATCAGATATCAATGCTCTGAAAAAAAAACGACGACAGAAGCAAAACAATAACAATAAAAATAAAATAAAGTATAATAATTTAGTTAATGAGATGAAGTGATAACATAGTGATACAACCTAAGAAAAAAAATAAAGTCAAACGAAGTTTCTACGGAGAAATGATTCCTTTAAATTCATCTTTTTAATGATGTTATTTTGATGTAATTTTTTAATCCTTGTTGTCGCAATTGTATCACATGATTATGATTTTGGTGAGTAACCAGATAATTTTTATTTTGAGAATATAAGATTCTCAAGATTCAGAAATATCCTTAACTATTAAGCATTAAGATTGGCTGGATCCCCAAACAAAAGCGATTTGGCTTTTAATTAAATTACTATTAAAAGTTAAATCGCTAAAAATGAGCGTACCACCAATTTTGATGCATGACATTTTGAAAAATTTGAACCTTGAAAATAAAATTATCTCCAAGTGGTACTTTGCTTGAAGTTTAAATTACTACTAAATTTTAATTAAGACGATTAAAAGACAATCAAAAATTATGAATCCTAATTATTGGTTTAAAAAAATTATTTTTTGATGATGATTACATAATCATCAAATAACTTCGTTATTTGATGATGACGCAATCACCAAAAAAAGATATTTTAAAAAAATAATTAACGAAATAAATTTATAACCTTTTTTGTACTTCACTAACAAACACTGGATATAACGATAAAGATTTCAAAATTTTCCAATTATATAATAGTTCGTTAAAAAAAACTGTATAACATAGTATATAATTTCTATAATGAACTTTTTTCTTTAAAACTGCCTTTATAGAAAGGTTAACTATAATTTTCTGAGTAACATTAAACATTAATAAAAAAACCAAGAAAAATTTTTCCTTACAAAATTACAAATAAGTACTGAAAAGTTATTTTGTTTTGTCTCATTTCTGGTGACTTACTATGGAAATACATTTGGGTGTTCCCTTCTGCTAATCGAGCAACTTACATAACCTTTTATCATTCACATTTTCTCTTTTTTCTTTTGACTGTTGTCCCAACATAAAATGCAATAAAAATGCAATAAAAATTAGTACAAATGACTGTTATCCCAACAGGTTATAGAACCATAGAACTATAGAATACATTAAAACTTATACAAATAACTATCATTCTGACAGGCCATATGCTTAGAACAATCACATCAACCCTAGCATTTCAAATGATTGTTGTTCTGACAGGCCATATGCTTATACTTGTTGGCAAAACCTATGGGATTTGGGATTGGGCTATGGACAAACCCAGACAAATGGGTTTGTCCACCTATATTTAAAAATTCCATATGGCAAAACTGGATAAATCCTATTCCAAATCCCAAACCTATCCCAAATCCCAATCCCAATCCCAAATCCCAAACTCAAATCCCAAATCCAAAACCCAAACTCAAATTCCAAACCCAAATTTTGTCTTTGAAATTTAGAGTTTCCTAAAGAAAAGCTTTTTTCTTTACTAAATAAACCTCTTTTC